GGAAAAAAGGCAAGTTGAATAGCAATGTCTGGATTTGATTTGAGTCTGCATAGGTATTTTTTTCCTTTTGATTTATGTACAATTATGGCTAGTTATTATTCAACTCTGTTTTGCATTTGGGTCTATAGCCTTGAACTATAGTTGTATATACATTTTGATGAAAAATGAAAACAAAAAAAAATTGTGGTTGAGTTTATTTTTAGTACATTGGATGTTGTTAATAGCTATGTAATTATTTTTTATTTAACGTTAAAATTTGGAAAAAAAAATTCTGAAAAGTTTTCAAAACTTAAACCGTCAAATTCGCCTGCTGCAAACCAATATGATATGACATGCCCGGTATGAGGGTCTTATCGAGTTAGGTTGTGAAACATTCCCCACATTTTCATCACATAAACATGAAAAATATCAACATATAAAACATGTAAAAGCATTTTTTAACATGAAACAGAAATATATAATCTTTCAAATATATGACAGAGTTAGTTGTGTGCCGGGGTGAAACTTGTTGGTAAAACTTGTATAGACATTTGGCAGTAACAATTTAGAAAATCATTTATAACATCATTTTGTATGAGGGTGTTATCGAGTTAGGTTGTGAAACATTCCCCACATTTTCATCACATAAACATGAAAAATATCAACATATAAAACATGTAAAAGCATTATTTAACATGAAACATAAATATACAATCTTTCAAATATACGACAAAGTTAGTTGTGTGCACCGGGTGAAACTTGTTGGTAAAACTTGTATAGACATTTAGCAGTAACAATTTAGAAAATCATTTATAGCATCATTTTAAAGCAGTTATTATTATGTAGTAATTTTTATAATTATTAACATACTCACAAAAATACTTAAAATCGTGTGCAAATGAAAATGCATGTTGGAAATTTACATTTTTCCACTTAATGTGATCATAATGTTCCATTCTACCACTTATCAAAAGTTGCACAATGAAATTTTTTAAAATCTCCATAAATTTCTGTTTATATAAACCTAATCAATTAAAATGCAAAGGATAACCACACATGTATTAAAATTAAAATCAAATATAGGGCAACAATAACTTATCTCGAGTAGATAACTTTTCAACAAGCATATTAGACAAAATTGGCACTAAGACTTCCAAATACAACTTTCTCTCTCTAAAAGTTCTCTCATTTCCCCCCTAAGTAGCATCCTCAAATTTAAAAAATGAATTTTCATAAATAAATTATGATATCTATAAACCCATCGTCTTAATGCCACCATTCCCAATTTCGCAATGCTCCTAATACAAAATTATAGACACTTAAATAGAGACCCTGATGCCGTAACTCCCTTTTTTCAACCTTCGCAACTACATCACTTTCAAACAGTGCCAACCTTTATGCACTACATCACTTTCAAGCACTTATCAATTTATAGTGAGGGCAATGTTATAGCACTGCAACATTCCTAATGAGAATTTTTCTACTTGATACAATTATTTTTCCAACTCAATTGCAATCCTCTTTTTGATAGAAGTTCATCTTAAAAAATTCTAAAATTTCATAGTCAGTGCTACATGAGCGATCGTTACAATTATATTGATGAATGATGGGAGAAAGTATCATATAACATAAATTTAATACAATTTCCTTATGTAACATTTCTAACTCACTTGGACTGATCACCTTTGCACACATTGGTTTTATAAATCATGAAATGCCGACCATGATTCTCACCACTTTGTTTGACGGATGGACTTAGGGCACCTAGCAAAATATCATCAATTAGAAGATGACAATCATGACATTTTAGGTTTGTTATTTTTCACTTTTAATATTTTTGCACCTTAAAATATTTGATGAATACCCTTTAGGTAATTTCATATTTTTAAAACTTCACAAAACATGAATATGTCCTTCTTTGACATTATAAAAGGGGTTGTTGGTAAGACATGACTACAATCCTCAATAATATGAGAATGTTATTCGGACTTAACACCAATTTGAATAAAATATTATTTGCTTACAATTTGTCTTTAAATTCATCAAGATCTAGCAAAGTTGTCATAAAATTATCACAAACATTTTTCTATATGAATAACAACAAAATTATGAGGTATTATGTTATATTTCCAATAAGATTAATAAAAAAAATTGATTTCTTCTTTCATTTGGTGGTCGTACTTGGATATTTAGATGTGATAACTTCATATCCTCTCTTCAAGGTTATTAACCTTTCCTTATTGGTTTTACCAAGTGTAATATGATAGTTTTACGTTCTATCATAATTTTACTACCATAAATCCTATTTGGTGCATACTTAAGTTTATCCATGCTATCAAAGTAATGCTTCTATGTACGAAATATGTGAGATGTTGTAAGCCAACGTCGATGCCAAAAGAAAGCATCTTTTTACTCTTATACAACCATAAAGATTAAGTATTTTGTGCACAAAAATGGGCAAGCAAATATCCCATTAGTTCTCCACCCATAAAACAACTATACACAGGAAAGTCCTTAATAGTCCACAATAATGATGCCCACATAATCATAAATTGTTCATTAATTTCATCGTAGCATTGAACAACTTCTCATAATTATTTTAGTTCTTGAATTAGATGTTTGAGATAACTGTTAATGTCACACCAAATATTATCATTAAAATAATAAAAGACGAATATTTCATTCCAATCCACAGAGACATATTATAAGAGACTAAGATCACCTACTAAATCCTATATAGTACTTATATTATTAAAGATTAAAGCGATCATTGGCTAAATCAAGACGAACATTATGTTGATCCAAAGTAAAATCAACATACCATGAATCAAATGATTTGCATGCTTCACCATCAGCTGAGTGTGGCAACATACCATATATGTTTCTATCCGTAGCATGCCAAGTCATCTCACATGCAAACTTTTTCTAAATAATCCTTGAATTCAATGAATTAAAGAAAATATCAAACAATTTTATCTATCTTCATTTGAAGTTTCTTTCTTTGTGTGCAATATTACTTTTCTAAGTTCTAATTGAGGCCCATCTTGACGCTCCACAAGTACGACATGCACCTGATCAAATTTATCTCCCCAGAAAAACATGCAATTGTTAAAGCATGGATAAATTTCTATATAACAAAGATCTAGTGTTCTTTTTTTTTGTATGAGATTAAACATGAAAATTGATTTTCTTAATTAATCATGTTTAAAAAAAGATGAAAATTTGATTTCTATGTTTGAAAATAACAAATATGCATTTTAATTTTGAAAAATCATACTAATGCACATGATCACTCTAAATGATGTGTTTGAGTAACCTCAAAAATTTCAAAGTCATTTAAGATATTTTTCTTGCTTATTTATTGAAATATTTACTTAATTTTTAAAATTATGAAATTGGCCTAAATAAATTAGTTAATATACAAAATAGTGGACACACTATGAAATGTATATCATAATCATATGCATACACCAAAGATAATTTTTGTAAATTTTTATTTTTATTTTAAGGATAATACTAAATTTCCTATCAAACAACAATAAAAATTTCTAAATAATTATGGAATGCTACTTTCACTATGGTAAATATCCCCATATTTAATTAAAATAATTTGAGACATTTTAACATTTTTATTATTAAAGAATAGATGTTTTCAATTACTAAAAATATAAAGAAACCACAAAAAAAATCCAAAATAACTTAGAGAGTTGCAAACATATGCCAAAATTATTCCATGATTGTTTTAAAGTCATTTTAGTTAGGCATATTTAATTATAATTTTTTAAATAGTTAAATATATTATTGTAAAATCACAACTCACAATGCAATTCTCTTTAGACCACCCTAGGAAAATTATGGCATGCTTATATTAATGTAATTAATGTACCATAAGAGTTTTAAAATAAAAAAAAATCATTTGGTGCTTAGTTAATTTTAAATAGCGAATAATTGAATTTTAAAAAATAGAAATGCCATGCACATTGCTCAAAAGATTTTAATGGAATCTGCATAATTCAATGTATTTGCAATAGAAAATTTCAAGCTATTTCATTCAATATTCAATCCACAATAATATCCAAAGAAAACCATAAATAAATAAGCTTGTATTAATTGGAATCATATGATCATTTGTAAAAAAATGGTAAGCACTAATTTATTCTCTCTCATACAAATTGTAGTTTGTGAACAATCAAAACCTCTAAGTGTTGCACGTCCAATTCATCCCCTCTCTGATGAGGCCTCAACTAATAATATATAAGGTTACAATACAATAGTGATAATGCTCATCCTTTTTTAAATGATATATTAGTCTAAATAAGTCATTATTGCAAATGGCTTAGGAAATGAAGGCATGCCAAAATTTCAACATATCTAGGAAGGTAAATATTGTTCAAATAATTTATAAAGTTTAAAGTATGTGCTGACATACCTCTTACACCGTGGAGAGGTTGGGTGAATTATTCTATAAGTACGCCGAACGCCGTCTGAAGATCAATTAGAATGCAACACGTCACCCCTTGCTCGGTACCCAATTAGGTACTGCTTGGTACAGAGCTTGATACCACTGACGTGACACATTTTGATTGATCTCCGGATGGTGAATTGCGTTCGGCGTTAGCACAGAATAATCTCTTGAGAGGTTGAGGGGCAATCTAGGCCACTCACATTGCTAGTGTTATTGGTGTCAGATATGTTTAACCATAATTCAACACTAAAGAGTCAACATTTTGTCCATACTATTTGAGTAGGTAGAAATTTTCCTTGGTGTATATGATAATTTTAATATTTATATGATTCATCACAATTTTTACCTAGCTCTAAATAAGTAGTATTTTTTTATTATTTTGAGTTTGCTCAATTTTTTATTAATTTTGCAGAATGAAGAAAGCACCTATGACTTTATATTATGATAAAATAGTTTTGTATTATATGAGATTTATAAGACCCCTACAATAATCTAATTGAATCACGTTTGTAGAACCTAAAATTATAACTTGAAAAAGAATTAAAAGAAAGCCATTCTTTTCTAATGCATGCTAGGTATCGATCACATTAAACTCTTCCCTCTTCTCTCTACTCGCGCTCTCACCTCCCTCGTTTCTCCTCACGCTCTCACCTCCCTCTGCCCATGCTCATCAGGTGCTCGCGCGATCACTAAAGCCTTCAACCCCTAAAACCCTAACACTGATTTCAACCTCAAAATTACTCAACAACAGTACAAATAAGGAGGAGGAAGACGAATCAACAGCCTAGGGCTCCCTCCCCACGCGTCAATGGAGGACCCGGAAGGGACCCTTAGCTTCGACTTCGAGGGCGGTCTTGATGCTGTCGCTCCTCTCGGCGTTGTAGCGGGATCTGCGTCTTTCTTGCCCTCCGAAACTACCCCTGCTCCGAGCACCGCGACCGCCGGCAATATTGGGTCTGCAGCCTCTGACGCAGCGGCCACCGGAGGGAACATTGCTGGTCGGAGGAGCTTTCGGCAGACGGTGTGTCGGCACTGGCTCCGCAGCCTTTGCATGAAGGGGGACGCCTGTGGCTTTCTCCATCAGTACGATAAGGCTCGGATGCCGGTCTGCCGGTTCTTCCGCCTCTACGGGGAGTGCCGGGAGCAGGATTGCGTGTATAAGCACACCAACGAGGACATAAAGGAGTGCAACATGTATGCTTCTCTGTTTCATTTACCTTTGATTCGTGTGAAATCTAGTGTGTTTTTGCGTTTCTTATGTTTTAGTATGGTTGGTTTGTTGAAGAGGTTGTTTGCTTTCTGGTCCTTGGTTTTTATGATGTCGATCTATTTATGCTTCCCTTGTTGTTTTTTTGTTGAATTACTGATGATTCGATGTTTTTGAACTTTTTTACTTCAAAACAATTGCAATAGTTTGAAAAAAACTGTGCATTTCTAGTCCCAACATGCTTGGGTACCAAAATTTTCCACCCTTGATGTTATGCTTTATTGAAGGTTGGGATTACTCTGCAAAAATTGGTAGCCCTTACACTGCATGGTTTGGGGTAGCTTTTAGGAGTTGGTGAGGGATCTTTTTTGTTGTTGGTTAATAAAATCACATTTTGCTGACTTAAGTGCTGAAGTGTCCCATTTCTTGATATGTAGGACGGCATATGAGCTGCTTTTCAACAAATCTATTGATTCACTAGTATTTTAGAATCATCTAGAAGTTAATTGCTACTACATTGTGTTGTCCATAACTAAATTCATATGATTAGCTCATTGGTGAAGATTACCAGAAAGAATATAATGTGTTTGTTAAGGCACACCAGGAGGGGATAAGTAAATTGGGCGTGCTATTTTTCACGCTCTAGAATTTTCTTTTAAACTTCTTTACAACTCAAATCACAAAAAATTCAAAGTGGAAGCTATAATAATATAAATGCATAAGGTAATTGGTGTGTTACTCAACTTTAATTACATGCACTTGTGGTCAACTAAGTTGATCTTATAAATGTTACAATAATATTAATTGATGATGTTGAATGATTGATTAAGCTAGTACTTAGTGATTTATCTATAGGTGCAATTATATTAGATGAATAAATTATGCTAGCTTATATGTTTAAATTTATAGAAATTCAAGATCCACAAAACAAAGGTATGAGGTGATGTAATAAAGCTATGATTAATATATAGAAATTGATTTGTTAAGTGTAATGATTAAGTTTACGTACTACTTTAACATTAATTAAGTAGATCACCGTATTAATATAAGACCATGAATTTGCAATGCAAATAAATTTTGACTATATAGCGAAATGAATGCATACAATACGAAATTTATGTGGTCTAGCCCACCAAGTGGCCTACATTCATTCCTAAGCACCTCGACTACTTATGCAAATGTCTTATTCACAACTTGCAAGCAAATAAACCCTTACAATCTATTCCTTCAAGGGGAAGCAACCCTCACACTCTTTTCTTTTATGGGGAAGCGAAACTGAATATTTTTTTATGGGCAAGTGTGCCACCTATAAGCCAATCCCTAGTTAATCTATAGAAAATGCATTCTTTTAAAGAGATTTAACACTTCGGTGGTGACTAATGCTATCACCAACTATTACAAGGATTATGCAAGCTTGATATGAATTGACTGCAATAAAATTGCAATGAAATTATAATTATAAAACTACAAGATTGAGAAAAGTTTGTTGCTTTAAGCTTGATCTCAAGAGATTAGAAGGATGAACAATTGTAGCTTTTCTTCTCGTAACTTTTTCTTCTTGAATGAATTTGTTTATTATTCAACTAGGTCATATAACATATTAAATCACTTCTAAAAAATCCAAGGAATCCAACTAAATAAAAATTAAACCCGAATTATGATATAATTACATGAACTTTTAAATATATCATATAAGCTAAAAAAAATTATAATTCTTACGTAGGAATAGAAATATGTTAATGATGTGAAACTAACATGCGTAGGAGCTCATTAAGAAAATTAAAAGTGATTGACAATGGAATTACAATTAAGAGCTTATTGAAATAACAAGTAAATTCATTAAAGAACCTTAGTCTTTGACTTGCTTAGGCGAAGGAGTACAAATAGATTAACCAAAACTCATAGGTAACCAAAGATAGTAGCAATACCAAAAGCTATTAATCAACAATCCGCAAATTAATAATGAGAGTTTTCACCTTGGGGATTAATCACTCAACTATACTAGGCTTAGCGGGAGATGATCTTCAACACACTTAACGATGCCATGAGGAGGGCCGCAACACCGATGGTCTTGAGCCACGGAAAGGTTGGCGGTGGTGGAGGAATCACGGACGGATAGCCGAGGACGGTCCACGAATAGTCTTCGAATTGCTCGTCGATGACGTCGATGAGCGTGGGAAGAATGCGATTTAAGTAGTCTTCAACCGTGTCGTCGGATCCGAACCCGACGTCAAAGAAAGGAGATCGGGTGATATGGATGTCACCGTAGATATCAAACACCAATCCACTATCGATCTCCGAATCCGCCATGCATGCTTGGCGTTGTTGAGAGAACACCAAAGAGAGGAGGGGAGGTGGCGGGATCTCCAAGGGGAGAGGGTGAGGCCGGCGGGTGCAAGGGAGGAAGGGCTTCCAAGGGGCGGCGGCAACTAGGGTTGGGAAGAGATTTTCTTGTGGTGGAGGAGAAGGACGATGGAGGTGAATACGAAGGAGAAGATAAAAAACCTAACCACGAGCCGCGGACTCTTCCAACGACTGGTGGGCCTTGCGATTTGCTCCCCTTGAGCTCTCTCCCTTCTCAAGCCCTCATGCAAGAAGAAGAAGTAGAAACACAAATTTTTTTCATTCAAATCTTCATTAGCTATTACAAGAGACAAGACCCATATATATATGTCTCAAGTATACATGAAGAAATAAAGACTAAATTGCCCTCAGGGCCCCAACATGACTCAACTCATCATAAGGGTACAAAAGGAATACATAAAATAAAATGCAAAATAACTAAAAATATAAGCTCTGAATCGTGGCCGTCGATCTGCGATGCTTCCGGCGATACACCTGTTTGAACCTTGGATCGATGTCCTCATCAGTTAATAACATATTATAAAAGTTTTATACATCAATAAACAACAAAACATCATGCCTTTATACCTACGTGGGGTCGGCTACATGAATCATTTTTCTCCATTGTGTCTTGTTAATAGTCAAATTCTCATTTAAATCCAATTAAAAAAGGTCATTTCTAATATTTTCTAACCAAGTCTTTTTTATGTCTATCTCTATCTTTCTTAATATTGGCTGTGGACCTCCGAAAGAGCACCGTGCTAATGGGTCAATTGGAATGGAAGATTGGATCGTGCATACGACTAACCATTGGGGATAGAGGCTCTCGTCAACATACCCCGATGGGTAATAATATACACGACCTAATCACGGGTTTCCCTCACCCGATACAACAGTTCGAATGGGGTTTAGTAGATGTGAGGCCAAGTTTCTCACGGGTGTAAGCCCCCGTGGTTAATTACATCCCAGGCCGGAGCCCGAAAAAACTCTCGATTAAGGATCATACATTATCCCTTCCCAAAGTGGAATTGACACAGGGGTATAAACTAAGAAGTCCTACTCAAAAAGAAGAAAATGTTCCAAAAATCTCAGTCAACATGCGTGGCTCATACCAGCATTCGGAGGCTCTAGAGTACTATAGAAGAAACTGGAGAAAGTAAAATCAATCATTCAATCACATGCGTGAGAGAAGAGATAGAAGTGGCGTCATCCTGTGACGCAGATAAGTAGGATTTATAGTCCCTGAAAGGAAGGAATCTACCTACTATTTAAGGCATACTACGAGACCGAATGTAATAGCCTTGAATCCTAAATCTAGATTGGGTTTAGTGTTCTACATAACACTAAGACCCGTGTCCTAGCTAATGCAGTGCAAAATCTGGATTTACCCCGACCTGGATTGGGGAGCCAGCTAACCACCTAATCGCTTTAAAACCATGTTATTAAGTCAGTTATGAAAGATGGGTAGGTGGTGCAGTTATTTGGAAATAAGACCGACATCTAGAGAGTTTTCTAATTTGTCCTGAACTTATGTGGGGTGAGTGCCCCTAACTAATGCAATTAAATTTTAATTAATTGGTTACTAATGCAATGCATGCTAGTTGAAAGGTCTCAAATCATGAATGCTATAGATTTTAAAAACAGGCTTATAGAAAATAAATTTTTAGAAAAGACTGGGTCTCCCTTAGTCCGGCATTTCATCCTCATAGGCCAGATTATCCGGACTCTACCCGCAGGTAGGGAGATGTCTTATAACATGGAAAGAAAGATGCAGTAATATGCATGCGACCTCGGAAGGTTCCGGCAATTCCCTAGGTTCGTTAAGTTTTTAGATTATTTAAAGCTTAAACATTAAATTTTGGTTATGAGTAGAAAAATGTTTATAGTCCTTAGAGAGCCTAACGAAAGTACAGGCGAAAATAAAATCGGCATACAAGAAAGAAACCTAGAAAAACAGGTAATTTCTACTGCGCAATCAGGTAAACACATCAATATAAATCCAACAAATCAAATAAATGTCCATAGGCAAACTGCCCTAATTACAACCCAGATATGCGGAAAGTAAAGTGGCCGGGCACATCTATCAACAACCCAGATTTCTAAGCCTATGACAGACGCAAATGACTTTGAGTGGGATATTGGTCTTCAGGTCTTCTTTGGATCACTTCTCCTTGGACTCCTTGGATCTCCCTCCTTGGACTCCTTGGATTTCTCCTCATTGGACTCCTTCGATCCGTCGTGGCTTGAATATCCAAACGAAGAGACAATTCCCTCTGGTAGGGGGTATTGCCTTTTCTCTTTGGATACCTAAAGCCATCCAGCTCGATCTTCCAAATAGAAGAAAACTCTCCCCTATGAGGATGCCTTATTCTTTTGGAACTCGAGTTGGATAATGATATCCCAACTCAAAGACCATTTTCACAACTCTTTATAAATATTACATCAATTGGAAATAGAAAATTCTAGACTCCCTACATGATTATCCTAATAAAATCCCAAGCAGTTATATATAAAAAAAGATAAAATACATCCCATTGAAGCTGTGCAAAATCATGCTCTTAATTATGAGGGCTAAGTAGTCCACCTGTAGCACTTGTAGCACCTGTAGCATATATAATTATTTTTTTTATTTAGCCCTCATTTA